GACACTTGCGTTTGAGTGCGTTTGACTGCGTTGCGTCGAGAACCGAAAGGGAGTCACCGGCACATCTGTGCTTCGTATGAAGCGTGGAATCCAATTCAAGGAATCATCTTGGCACGCGAAATAAGCAGCAGGGATGTCCTGGTTCCTCGCAACCGCAACACAGTCAAACGCAACTGTCTGAACCAGGCTTTAGGCTATTAGACGCCATCACGTGCAGCGCTTGTAACCAAACTTGCAGCGTACTACTTGGTGCTGAGGTAATTTCGCGAAAGGCCAATCGGGGCGTGTGTGTGTGGAACGAAATACGGACGTATTTTTGTTGCGACATCGAGGCAACCTAGATCTTCCCAATCTTTCGCTCAATCTAGTAGTCATTTCGCCACCTTTCAATTGATGCACTTGTTCCATTCACTCAACCACAAACACCGCATAAGTTCGGGATTGTTTTTTTTTTTTGTTTTGTTTTTTTGTTTCTCCCAAGCTGTCAATGACAGGGAAGCTAACTCATCACGAAGAAGCGTGGGAAATGCGGGCTGAGTGACGTTATGTAATCTAAAGGTAGAACCGTCACATTTGAAGTCAGTGTCAACATGTCGATCGATTTTAACATTAAAAAAAAAAAAAAAAAATGACAGCTGAAGAGAAAATAGCGAGACTGAGAGGAAGGAAAGAAGAAACAAACAAAGACACTCGCAGGGCTAAGATCAGAGGCTTGGAGAGTGGTGATGGTAACTTCGTGCATTGCTGGCACTATTTGATTGCATTTTTTTGTGCTTTCTCGTGTATATGAGCTGCCATGCTCATTTACGTGAATGAACTTCCGCACAAAAAAAAACGATATTGGTCGTCAAAGCTTGCTTTTGTGAACGCGCGTTCAGTGCTGAGAGCTTCTATTTACGACAGCTGTCAGCCCAGTAAATACAGATATTTGCCCGTACAGTATAATCGCTTTGAAGTAGAACGATGGCTGCCGTAGGCATCACTAAGTGTCGTCGGGGACATAAACGGACGAACTTTAGGATTGTTTCGTGACGGACCTACTAGAACCGCACAATGCGCTCGACAAACGCTTCAGTCACGTAGACAAAGTGCTCGTGTTAACAATTTTAGGGTAGGAGTGTGAATTAGTGGAACGAGTCGACTAGCTCTTTGTGAATCATAGTCTTCATAAAGGCGGCAGTTTTATTTGCACTGTCGACGCTATGTATGACACTACGCTGCTCGATTTGAAGCATTATCGAAACAGCCGTTTTTTATGTGACGCAACAAAGAAGGGCTTCTTTTGCCATAGCAACCGTTAAGAAAAACCGGGTGGGGCGGGTCCCTTGCACTTGATTATCGCTCCGCAGCAAATAATATTGCGACATTCGAAAATAAAGAATGAATTGCGTAGCGTAAGGCGTCAACATAATAACCCGCCGCGTTCCACCAGCTGTCAGCGACGATGTTCTAATAAGGTCCACAATCTTATGCGCGTGGTTTGATACATAGCGGTCAAATCAAGTCGCCTCAAGTACCGTGGCCGACGCTTGTTCGCGATGCACTAGTCAACATTGTGTCGAGTCGCTCCTCTTATAATTGACTCTCGAGTTTGCCATATGCGCTTTCCGTTCTCGTGTCCAGGGCGCTTCGCAGCTCCAGCGAGGACAACGCGTCTATAGAGACACATTCGGGACGTTCTTGACAGCGGACAATGTTGCCAGGCGTAAATTTCGAGAAAGAGCCTCCATTGTTTCGTCGTCGTTGTGTACGGAACGGAGACAGCTCTAATTAGCGGCCGGGGGATCCATTCTTCTTCCGCGACAGGATCTCGCCGCGCGTACCCCGGTCATCGCGTGACGCTGCACTACTTGCAGCAGCGCCCTTATTATCTCCACGCCGCGCTATCTCCGCGCTGGGAATTAGTTCCTCACTTTCTGCCCAGTGCGCGGCTTCCCTGTTTTCCGTCGTGCCACCGGGGGTGCGCGAATGACAAAATGACGTGAGATAAAACGTCTCCCAACGCGGACATGAGTCGCTCTGCCGCATGCCTATACAAACATGAAACGTTTCTTAATTCCGAAGGTGCACACTGCTTATTCATCACGCAGAAGATTCTGTGTTCGCTGTAGACGTGAGGACAGAATAGACCCCTTTCGAAAGTCACGTGCCGACTGATAAAACATTGCATGCACTGCAAAATGGTGGAAAAACTGACACCACTGAACGTGCATGTAGCGCGAGCGGGTAGCTTCAACTTGTGGTCCCGCTGCACGAGGGCTCGTGAGCTAGGACGCATTAGAACTGAAGAAGCTCGCACTTATGTCCGCAATTGTGCGGGGATTCTACTGCTTCCAATAGAGGGAACTCTTTCGAAAGGGGTCTATTATCCAGTACAATTAATTGCACGCGCATTTGATGTGATCAAATGCGCGTGCAATTCTACTGGATCTTTATACAACCGCGTTCGCAACGGCTTTGCGAAAGCGGATCCAAACGCCGACTGAGGAACTTTATAAAATAACGCGAAACGGTAGCGTTTACGGGACGCCTTATCGCCGAGGCTTTCTCAGTTCCTCGCTGTTAAACCTAGTTTTTATTTCGAGGCTTGGCTTCCACTGCCTGTCGATATTTTAAGTTCATCCCCGTTTTCGCACGCGTAAGAACGAATCTCACGCACAAAAATGAGCTCGAATTGCACATTGGTTGCCTTCCGCTAGACACAGGTCTTCCAGAGCAGCAGCGAGGGATCCCGTATATGAATAATTCGTTACGCATAATTGGGATAAGTGCTGTATGCGGAATGCAAGTTCGTCTGTTTCTTTTGCAGGGATTGTGGTGACGTCAGAAATACGCCAAGCTGTGACTGGCTCTGATTGAAGGACAGTGGATAGACCTCGAAGCAAGCTGCCTTGAGCTCTACCCACTATTTCTCCACCAAAGCCAATCAGAGCTTGCCGTCGTTTTGACGTCAAAAGAAGCAGACGAACTTTCGCTTCGCATAGCATCGTAAGATTCAACCCCTAGTCACCTACTTGCAGTAAATAATAATAATATTATATTATTATTATTATTATTATTATTATTATTATTATTATTATTATTATATAAGAAAGACCTCTGTTTGCGGAGGCCAGAAACGTCTTTGTGATGCCTCAATTTTCTGCCCAAGTCACCGACAAGGTGAGGGTAGGAAGGGACAGATTCGGTAGTATCGCCGGCAGCGCAAGCTTCCTCTCTTTGACGACGTTTCAGCGTTTAGTGCAACTCTAGCGCGTTCGCGCGCAGCCAAAGCACAGCGGAAGCCAGGAAGCGCGTTGGAGGGCGGGCGTTCGAAAGACGCGCCCTGACGTTCTCATTCTGTCAGTGACTATGCGCCGAGAAGGTTAGGAAAACGAGGAGACGAGAGCGCGTGGGCACGTTGGAACGGCGAGCTCTGGTTGGAACGACTAGTGGTTAGATGTAAAGCTATTGCTGCTGCCTTTGTCCGCACTGCACTCGTCGAACGCGTTCGAAATGGAAAGCCAGACGCCGGATGCCGGCGTTCTACGTTCTCAGGCGTTCAACGAGTGTAGGGGAGACAAAGGCAGTTAGCTTGAGGTCTGCCCACGAATCCTTCCAACCAATGCTCGACGTTCTGGCGTCTCCTCCGCTCTCGAGTCTTCTCCTCTCTCTCACTTTTTCTGAGCATACTGTCCCCTTTAAATTCGATCTTTAGTCTTAGGGAACACTGACGAATGAATGTTGTGAGCATTCCATGTGCGGTTGACCAAACTGTTTGTCTCGAGTCACCCGTGATAGATATTGTTCTCCCGTTAACGGAAGTTTCGCTCATGAGAGCTCACATATTAGGGCTGTCTCTCTTATCCCGCGTCCTACCGAAACATTTAGTATAAACTGGATTATGGAACAGAAAATGTAACTGAATTTCTTGCTGAAATCCAGTTTGCAGACAATGTCTGGAAACTGGATTTCAGGTTTCCAGCAAGAAATCCAGTTAGATTGCCTGCTCCATAATCCAGTTTATACTAATTCTTTTGGTAGGGGTGGCCCGTTTTTCTTTCCCTGTAAGTGGCAATGAGACTTAAGCGGGAGTGTAGAAAGTCTCAAAGTATTTCCCGGAGGACACGCGTAGCCCCTCGGATACCATAAACTCCAGCTGAAGGGAGATCCACGGGCTGTACCCGTTTCACAATATTTTCTTGCCCCCGATATGGTGTACTATACTCCACTACTATCAGCAAATAGGTTACCATTATATTAGCTACCATAAATAAGTCTCAGCCTCAGGTCTCCCGATGAATTCTAGATCTTATTGAGCTGTTAACTGTTATTTTGTGAACTGCTTACAAGTTCTAATTACCTACAAGGTGACGGTAGTAACACGTACTTCCCGAACGCTGTCGCAGCCACCGAGTCGTGTGGTGAGAACCAGTACCAATTTCGAGTTCAAGGTAGCGTTCATTACTCGGTCTCCTGACGAGCTTAGTATCAGTTACTGTATTCCTGAGCTAGTAACCGTTCCTAGCTCAACTCTTACTACTCGAGGTTACTAACGTTACTAAGGGGTATATGTGACAAGGAGCTACTATTGTTTGATAACTAAACATCACGAGCTTTCTTCTGAAGCAGCTGTCCCAGTCCTCATCCACCATACAATACGAAAAGCTGTCCGCCGCGACATGATGACAACATTATGTGCTGTGACGCCTCAAGCTTATTCGAAGCAAGTTTCCTTCATGCATATGCATGCTTCGACCACTTCTGCAGATAGTTTTGCATAACCAACGTTACAGAACTCAGACAGTGACTGTAGGCTGTCTTTTGTGACATTATCCAGGCAGTGCAACCGCAGCTTAAAGGTGCAGGCTGCTTGAATCTCTCGTAAGCTTTATGTCCCGCCCCAGGTAGCGGCGCGTCGACCGTCTTACATCGATCCTAAACATGGCTCGCTCAAACGCCTACCATTTTAGCTGACAATGATCGAGCAGCTCGCGCAGATTGTAGATGAGGCTGCTTACCGAAGGCGAACACGACGGAGTTCATCTTGCTCGTGGAGGCGTCGAAGGATTATTCCTCGTAATCTCTGCGGATAGGCTCCTGTTTCCCGAGTGATCGAGGAGGCTGTGGAGGAAAAGAAAGGCGCGTTGGCTCGCGGGCGCTTCATCGGCGTACGGCTCTTTTGACCTTTTTGCCATCAGCGCGCGCCTCCCGTATACCCACTTTTCTTTCTTTCGGGCAAAGAAAGACGAAGCTTCATGGCGCATTCCCACTGGAAGCGGATCTGCGTTCACAGAGCGGTTGCGAACGCGGTTGTATAAAGATCCAATACAATTGCACGCGCTTTTGATGTCGTCAAATGCGCGTGCTATTGTGCTGGATTTTTAAACTACCGCGTTCGCAACCGCTTTGTGAACGCGGATCCGCTTCCACTGTGAATGTGCCGTAAGATTAAAACTACCGCTTAAAGTGGATGTCATCACGACAACTTTGCATGCTTGCATTTCAAAGATTGCCTTTAAATATTACTTCTTTTTTTTTTTTTTTTTTTAAAGAAAGGAATTTCATAATCGAGCAACTGCCACAAGAAATTACCAGCATGTTTCGCCATGGCACCCTACCCCATTATACCTGAAAATGCCTGAGCTAGGGTGATGCGGATGCCTACTTATTCGGGAATAATTCCAGAGTGGCAGACTTCCCCAGTCTCAAATTTGGAAAACTAATGAACCTCCCTATGATTTGACACGTCCTTAGCATCTTGCGAGTTACAGATGCAAGTCACGTTCCGCTAATCGCAGTATTTAAGTTGAGATGTAGCGCACCATTTACTCAATTTTCTTATACACTTCTGATGTTTTCGTTGTTACTTCAATCTTAAGGCCCAGTGTCCTAATAGCTTTATGGTGAAAATCAGCGGAGCAAGTTTTAGATGTGACTTACATGGTCCCTATTTGTATCGGTGTTTGCGTGTGCTCACAATGGATTGACAGACCAAGGTAAGAGAGAAAATAAATTGTCTGGATTTTTTTTTCTGGAATAGTATACATACAGTATCACCTTTATAAATTAGCCGGCAGCTCGGAAGAAAACATCGCGTTGTAACCGATCCCTAAACATACGGAGAGACGCACGTAGTGGTGGTACTATCTGAAGATTCGGAGGCATGATACTGGGCCTTTCTTTTTGGAGAGACACCCATAAGGTGGTAGGAATTGATTTAAATTTTCTCCTAAAAAATAGGACAGTCCCATTTCAAAACAAGGGTGGGGTAAAGACAGAGTGAAAGGTTTTGGCACAATATATTCACCGGTCATACACCGCCTCGGGATCGGGCTTTGAAATGGCAACATGAATATCCTATATCAACAATGTGTCGGAAAAACACAGCATTAAACCTTTATAATATTAAAATAGCTAAGCAGAAAAAAAAAAAAAAACTGCGACCTGAAAAAAGTATTCTGGGTCTGAAACAGGTGACACAAATGGGCTAATCCTTGATAAGATGTCAGAATTCTGGTTAGGCTCTATGCTACGCTCTCTGAGCACAATAATTAATCGCGAGCTAAACATCGGACAAGGAATCCAGCCGAACAATGCTACATCCTGACGGTAAACGAGTGAGCACTTAAGGGAGGTTCGGACACGTAGGTTTGAGTGCGGCCAACTGCATTACGTTCGCTTGGGACTACTTACGACAAGGTGGTTGCTATATCGACCGAAGTCCGCGTAACGCGTTGGAGTGGAACGCAAGTAGTCGCTAACGCTCAAACGCATGTCTGTAACCAGCCTTTAAGCTGATTGTTGGATGAACTTCAGCTATCACCGACCCCCTGTAATGTTCTTTAAGGTATTTCAGGAAATAAATAAGAGACACCCGTACGAACGAAATCAAGTATCCACAGCTTCCGAAACAAGCAAGCATTCCCATGCACGCCGGCGGGGCGACGTTGATCCCATAGCCACTGACGACGAAGGTTCGAACCTTTTGAGAGATGCTCCGGTCGGGGTGCTGTGTTCGCGTTCTGCTGTCGAAGGCAGCTGGCCGATGCGGAACTCTGATGTGGACGGAGCACACAAACGACGGACTTTCACACTGGACATCCCCGGAGAGACCGGCGGGCTCTTTTTATACCGCATCTGCCTTCCCTCCTTTCCGGGGCACGTCCTAGACCGAGAGAGAGGAAGACGACGCATCACTCGAGGAGCATCTTCCTTCCTGCGTCTTGCCGACTTTCACCTTCGTCCGCCGCCGTCTTTCCTGCCCTTCTCCCTTCGCTTCTCTCTCGGCCATTTTCGTTTTCGTCGTCCGTTCCTCTCCACTGTCTCCGGCCGCCCGGTCGGCTCACTTCGTTGAGGTTTGGGTGAGGGGCGATTGCAAATGGGTGATCGTCTCCTCTCGCTGCGTCGCTCACGACCAGTTCGATAGCACGCGGCGGGCGGGTGGGCGTCCACCGTTCGGCCTTGCGTGCGTTCGTCTCGTGTGTGTGTGCGCCGTCCTGCCGCGTTTTCGGTGTGTGAAGCCACGGTTGTCTGCCGCCGCCCATCAATGGTTTCACTTGTCTGCCCGCTCGCGACGCTCAGATTAGAAGGGCAGTAGTTTAGCCGGTCGACGGTGGCGGTGCTCTATGCCCGTAAACGTCCCATTTACGAGAGACTAAAGTAAGCCACACTTAAAAGTAACGACGCACTTCAGCCGTCCCTTTGCGTTTGAAACCATTGTTGCCAGTTGTCCGTTGCTTTGTTTGAAATCCCAGGAAGCGCCTTTCCTTCGTTCAGAATTATTTATACAGTCCGATTCAGAATAAATTGATTTCTGCCGTGCCTCCTTACACCCCATCTGAAGCTCGGGAAATTATAGCATTTTCAAATCGTTTAACGTCGTTAATAGACCGATATCAGCAGCCTATCTTGTTACGCCGCCGCTGCAGGCATGGATCCTGGCAACTGTGGTCTTTCTGCACGCGCGACTACACGGGACGGCACGAGCCATCTGGTGCACTGGCGCCTGTCCCCGGTGAACTACAGCCAGGGCGGCGTCACGCTTGCGTGGAACGCTTAGTAAGATCGCTCTATTACGCCCGCTGTGCACTCGTAACCAAAATGGCGGTGCCCATAAGACAACAAAGACATGGAGTGTCAATAGGGGCTATTCGCTGGACGTCATATTTGAGGGCGAGGTATAGAGCGCGTGCTCAGAACGAGCTCACTTTAATAGCCTGCTAAGACCGGCAGTCTCGATGGTGCGGAAGGCACGTTGCAAAAGAACTGCCGAAGCTCGCCGTCAGCTCGGGCTCAGCAGTCGCGAACACAGCTATGGCCGCCAGTGAATACTCCACATGGAGCCTCTAAGTAAGCTACGCTTTAACGTAGCGACACTCCATCCAGCTTGTTTCTTGAAATCGTTGCTGACTGTTATCTGTATCCTTTGCTAAAATCGGAGGAAACGCGTTTCACTTTTCCAGAAATGTTAAAACGGTCTCCGACATATTATAACGGCATAGGCGTCCTGCACTGAAGCTCTGAAGAAACTGTGGCGCACTCATTTTGGGTAGTGCAAGCACACCTGACTGGGCTTTGGAGTACTTATGGCATATTCGCTAAGCTTTTGTCTTTCTGCGTAGTGTTGGAGAACGGAAAAACAACTTTCAACGTCCGAAATTGGCTAGATTTAACACCGAAAGACATGTGAAAGTGCTAGATTTATGCTACCACCGCTTGGGTACGCGACTCTTATCACCGCGTTGTGAGGTGAGTACATCTAACGTCACAACGCTTTTAACATTTTTTTTTGGATTGCATACGGGCGTGTCTTCTTCGCTCAGGCTCTCAGCGTCTTTGCCTTAACCTGTGCTTCGAAGGCGTTCGAATTTTCGTTGTGTCTTTCTATTTTCCTCGTGACTTCGCGTTCCGCACCAGAGCAGGCACGCTTCTACATGGGCGGCAGTATGAGGCGCTCAAGTTTGTACTATCCGAAACTAGAGTCATTGTATGTTGCCAGAGTATCGCATTCAATAGCATCCGATTTTACTGTTTAATTGTAGCTTTAATAGCCAATATGGCGCCGAAACATATACGGTTTCGGGGCTGCCAACCAGCGTCTGCCAAGCGGACGCGCCGCTGATTACCACCGAAGTTAGGACGCGCCCAGGTTGGACGCCCTGCCTGAAATTACCGGCGAGCCATGGTTGTATTAAACATAACATTAATTGTGCCGCAAAACCTTGTAAACTTACATTTTACGTAAACATCCCGCTCCTGTCATTCTGTACTAATCTCTAACAAAGCTTCCTTCAAAAAGGTTTTTTCCCGCTTTTTTTTAGGCAAAAACCTGCTTTCTAAACGCTCATGGTGACCACAGCAAAGGAAAACGATTGAGCCGCCATCTTAGCGCCTCGAGCCTGGGAGTTTCGATACTCTCGAAACGTTCAGTGGCTCTATCCCAGACAAGCCCTAACAAGTTCATTTCCGCAGCACACCCTGGGTAACGCAGAAGGGCTATTTGCCCTAAGTCTTGGACACCATATACCTAAACCTCGGGAAGCCACATGTTCAAATCGTATAACTACCGTCATCTGCGCCCGATCTGTGCGAATCAACAAAATGGCGGCCCCCACATCACCAACTTGGAATGGAGTGTCAATACTCCCGAGCGTTGCTTATTTAGTGGCTCTATACACGCTTGCAAGTCCGGCTTGAGGGCGGCGCCATCTTGCTCGGTTGGATTGCGCTTGGACGCGTCATAAATCGATAACAAGGCCTCGCTAAGGCGTCGTAATCGGATTATGGCCTCGCTTGAGCGCACACCAATCAACAAGACGGCGGCGCCTTAGACTGGACTTGCAAACGCGTATAGACCGAGGCAACTCTCTGACGTCAGTGTACTGCGGCGGCGCTGCTGTCGGAACTGCGCATGCGCAGACGCTTAACTTTACCCGAATCATCAGGTTTCTGCGCACGAGCAATGCCCATACTCCGATGGAGCCAATCGAGCGGCGCCAAAAGTGCACCGTCACGGCACTCCTCGAGTTTGTGCGTTCGCCATGGCCGGCTGCATTAATCGCGCGCAGCGACTGCGCCGTGATCCCGCGCGTTCTTTCGTGAGCGATTGCCCAGTGTTA